GTGTGAATCTGTTTTGAAGAAACACTGCTTCATTTCTCTGGCTATTATCAGCTGTTTTGATTAAAGCCTTTTGCTTTCTTCTTCTTGTTGGAGGAGAGAAATCATTTCTCTGTAATTCTGGCCATTCATTGTCCTCTAAGATCTGAATCCTTCCTGAGAGATTTTTTGGTCTGGCACCAACAGAGTTCCATACAGCTTCACCCTCAGAAGCAGCTTCCATCTCCTCTCCATGTTGATCTCTCCTCTCAGCCTTCTCACCCATTTTAACACATGTTGAGTTCTCCAAAGCATTCATCTCTTCCAGATGATGAATCTTGAGCTCCAACACGTCACCTTTTGGAGAAGCTGGCAGAAATCCTCTTTGGAAAAGAAAGGAGGCATCTTGAAGCTGTTCTGTACTCACTCTCAACAGCTGATGTTTCAAAAATCTTATCAGGTTCTTCAACAACCAAAAATAAAAATCCAATGTTCTATGCTTATTCAAGATCACACATCACGTAGGGGTCACCAAATTGTTGGAAAAATATGCGCTGATCAAAATGGTATGTCCGAATAAACAGGATTCAGCTGGGTTTCTTGTTAAAACTTTATTTTCAGTCTTCTGACTCCAGTCAGGTTCATTCAGCTCTCAGCAGCACAGGCCTCAGCGTTACAACCTTGAGCTGAATCAAAACAAACACGGGAGCTCTGCTCTGAGCAGACACTCTGCAAAACACTGACAACTTCTTTCTACTATAATAATGAATTGAGCTTATAATGTTCATCCCTTCCTGGTTACACCCCAAAGGTGTTACCTTTTACGTCAGACGTCAGAACATCACAGTTTTGTTTAGGCTGAGAGAAAGAAGACATGGTAACACACCAACTCTTTGTCAKCTTCAACCTTACAGACTGAAATGATCAGAAAGTATAAAATACAAAACTGAATCTAATATTCAATTAATCAATTACCAAATTTCTTCAAACAGATGCGTGAAGGTGCCTCATTCATCTGTACAAGCAAATATACACAAGTACAAACAAGATGAGAATGTCCAGCCATCATACCGCTCAGGGAGGAGACGAGTTCTGTGTCCCGGAAATGAATGTACTTTGGTCTGAAACAAAAGTCAAAGAGCTGGTAAGTCATTATCCATAGAGAAACTAATTCTGTATCCACATTGGACTGAAAGGCCACTCTGCCAGGAAGAAGACATTATTTTAAAAGAAACAAAAAGAATCTACCGTTCCTGCCATCTCAGTCCTGTCCTGCAAGATACTTCACCTGCCTTGCCTACTGATGGTGGTCAGAGGGTCCGGCGGCACCGGTGCATGGCAGCCCCACCTCTGGGTCACACTGACAGAGTGTGATAAGTTACAATGTAGCTTGTCACCATCAGTGTGTGAATAATGAATGACTGCACTGTGGTGTAAAGCGCTTTGGGGTTTGATTAAATGGGGTTCCATTAACCATTAACCATTTCAAATTCAAATTCAAATTCAAAAATACTTCATTGATCCCAGAGGGAAATTAGGTATTTAAAGAAGTTTAAATAAACTCACCACAGAATCAGGAAAAACCCAGATCAGTTTTGTACACGCAGACTAAAATTTATTAAAGTGAACAAAAATAAGTAGTAGTGAACTTAAAAAGATTACAGAAAACTGATTAAAATCAAAGACAAAATAAAATTTTATACAGGATGTAATTACAGAGAGGATCTGCCAACAACTACCAAATCTGAATCTAAAATTAAAGACAAAAAGTAATGTAATTAAAGAGTAACTTACCCCAAAATTAACTTTTTAGTTGATAAACTGCCTAGATTGTGTCCAAAATGTTGTATAGTACTGTTTCTGTGCTAATTTTGATGTTTTTCTGCGTATTTGTTCAAATCTGTAATATTTGGTCTAAAAACGTCTTTTTGCTGCTCATATGGGTAGAGCAGTGATCCTGCAGGCTAATTTGCATATTGGTTAACGGCTCTCCGCTGTGACGTGTCTTCTCCACAGTTTCGTCACAGTGACTGTGTTCTGGTATAAAAGCCTCTCTCTAAGACACGCCCCTGCAGCAGTCAGAGGGTGGA